AGCAGTAGAGAATAGAAAATTATTTGTGTGGCTCTCTCAATCTCAACGACAATGAGGTGAATTATCCTGCATCTAGTGAAGTAATGTACGTTATTTAGACTTACGGATGACCATGGCGCAGCTGTCCACAGACCATCACAACGACCAAGATTACAAGATTGGACAGTTTCTGGCCGATCACCTGCTATACACAAAGACTCTAAAACTTCTTCTATCTTTCCATTCACAGAGAAGCATCTGGTTTCTCTCGTCTGTTGTCCATTACCGCATGTGGTGCTGCATTCACTCCACTGACTAACAGACCATCGATATAATCTATAATGAAAACCACTGAATATTAATGAAACCGAAACTAAAGCACAGCAAGCATTGGAAAGTGGCTTCCGAGGGATTTTATAACAAGCCAGTACTACTTGTACTAGATAAAATAAGAAAATACTGTCAAATACTTTATTTTAGCTGGAATTAATTTTTTGCTCAAAGAATATTTTGGGCGTTTTGTATGGAATTTACTGATCACTGATTTCTAAAGAGTTGAATGTAAAATATAGGGGAAAAGGTGTATTCCTTAGATTTTATTTTCACTAAATCATTTAGTAAAATTAGTAAAAATTAATTCCAAGCGAAACTATTTTACATTAGGACCAGAAATGGTAGCAGGTATTCATTCACTAATTAATTATTCAACACAATGGCCCTTCAATTTCGACAGTGACCTTTTTAATAGTAGTACCCAAATACAGAAACATCTTGTTAATATTGAATACCTATTAAGGACAAGGATTGCATACTACAATTTAATCAATCAATCAATATAATTCAAGGTAGTTCAACCACTGGCCTCGGCCATAACTGTAATTTGGGATTTGAATATTTTTAATATATATAATATAAAAAAGTTTTATAAAAGCAAATGCTGCCCGCTATGTTTTATCAGTGTCTATGTTGCGTCATTTTGTTTTCATCATGCGAGATATACATGGGCCGTAGTTCTCAAAATCTGCTTATTCAAAGTTTTCCCTATAGTAATCTTTAAGTGCATCAGAGAGCATTGGTTTGCTGTAAAATGGCTGGATATAATGTGAGGGTAGGCTGCATTGCAATATCAAAGGCTGGCTGCTTTTATTACTTTTTATTCTGTCATTGGTCTGGAGCGATTGGTATATTTTGGCAGATAAAATGTGTATCAAAACATAGCGGCCTCCGATGTAAAGTTGTATGCAGGCAAGTACTTGTAATTACAAATTTTCAGTCACATCCAATTCTATACTGTTTAGGGTTAGTAATGTTCAAATCAGTCTTGTATTTTGTTTTTGCCAGAGTTCAATGAGATATAAATGTTTTTTTTGTTTGTTTTTTACAGTGACTGTTTATTTCTGCTGACTTTTCTCAATGTCAATTCTAAGGTAATTGTATTGTTCTGTGTCTCAATTGGGAAATGTTAATTCGTTGGTCAAGGCAGTACTGTGAAAATTTAGCTGTTATTTGTTTTAACACTTTATTTACACGAGTCAGCAGTCAATGTGGAAACTCTGACCTTCATTAAGTTGAGAGATGGATGCAATACTTACCCACAGTCTACCTCAGTATCGCATAGTTCGTATGTAGCTGGTGGTATTTCGCTACACTCAGCGGTTGATACAATGTCACCACTGCTAGCAAGTGCACAGTAAACATAACGTGAATGGGTTCCAATTCCACAGGTCACTGAACACTAAAGAAAGTAAACCCATCAAGGGTGTTAAAACTAAGAACAATAACATCTGCTAATGTTGTTATATACATTGTACAGTTCATATTGGCTATCAGTATAGAGGTATTCAGCACAGAAGGTACTAAAACATGATACACATTCTAGTGTATGTAGCGAGCACTGATTTCTAGTGAACTTTCAATATCCTGCTCACCTGGTCATTATAGGCTACAAAATGAACTCGTATTTGCTACCACGGTAATTTACATATTCATGAGCCATATTCTATTTTCACTTTTTGTCCCACAAACTAGCATACAGACTCCACTGAATCTGTGACTGAAACACCAATTAAAAAAATAACCCAGTTTTTGAACAAATGTCAAACGATACTTAGCAAGGCAGTGTACACAATTAGTGAAAATTAGTCCAGGAGTTTACTACATTTTTGTGATTTTTCCAATTTTTCAGTAGGAAATACCAGAACCACATTCAAAGCTGTTTTAATTTTTCAAGAAGCAAGCTTCCAAAATATCACAGAAAAATTGTCAAATTATTTTTTAACTTTCAGTGGTGTAATTATGTTTCCATATGTAAATCTTAATGTTGTTAAAAAATTAAACAAATTTATATTCATTTTTAATCAGTTTCTCGTATGAAAATAGTTTTCATAATATACATGTACAATTTGAAGTTTTCTCCCACAATGCATTGCATACATGTGCTCAAACTGTCTTCAGATAAAATCAAAGTTCAGTAGTTTGCATTACAAGCGAAGCAAAGGTGTGAACATACCGG